ACACACAGACATTTTAATAGAAGGCATTTCCTAGCTATTGGGTTGGGTTTCAGTGCCTGGGAGACTGAGATTAAAAGACTGGCAGGAAAACGGAGTGAAGTTTGAATTGAGGCCCCCGGGGTGACAGAGAACCACCAGCCATGCACACATATTTATGGTGTCCCTAAGGACCACGTTCCACTGCAAAAGATTAACATCCCTACTGCACAAATTAAAAATGCTCCATGATTTGCAGCATGGAGCAGGCTCACTGAAGAGCAGCATCTTTCCTTTGAACAACATAACTGAATGTCTCTCAGTCTGAAACACTCGCTGTATCGATTTGAATTAATTATTTGTACATTTGTAATCTTTGTGCTTTCTGAAGGCCTGGCGTGCCCCAAACCGCAATGCTGCTAATCCTTTTCCCATCGAGTAGACAGCCTCCTTCCCAGTGCTCCTTCTGAACCCTCCCCCCACCCCTACGCAGAGTCCTGGACCATTTGACAGCTTCTGAGGACAATCCATCAAACCCAGCAGACCAGTTTTTGTTGATGAAGGAGAGGTTTTCTTTTTAAAAACTGACTGAAAATTCTACTTAGAATGAATTAACAGTTTCGAAACATGAAGTTACTTCAGCTTGTCTTAGTTAAAAGCATCAATTCATTAGAACTTGGAGGAAAAGACAAACCTTAAAACTGATGGGATTAAAGCCTGTAAAATATAAGGAGAAATTGAATAGCAAGAAACTGGAATTCCTGAAGTTTGGGGAGCCATTATTCCACTTAGGTTTTCTGAATGAGCTGGGAATTAAATATGTATAGTAGATAGGGGAGTCTGGGGGTTCTAGAAAGGTGAGTAGTCTGTGGTGTAGATATAATACATACATTACCCTAAAGGAAAGGAGAAATTCGGAAATTTTATTTATACAAAGTGAACTATAAAACATCAGCCCTTTCAGGGGAAAAGAATAAACAGAACTCAAGATGTCTGCCATCTAATATAACCTATTTGCAATACTTTCCTTTCGTCTTAAGTAGGGTATGTGATATAGAGAAATCCATGTGAACTGGAATGCCCGGGGAATGATTGTTTTGGTTAATTGTAGATTCTAGTTAACCTCTAAGCTCTATTTCATGGATCACTTTTTGAGCATTTTATCTAAAATGTTGCTTTTCTGATCCCATAAGTTCAGTCCTAAAGTCTCATAGCTCCAGGATGGCTTGCAGATTTGGGTGCAAACCTTTTTGACTCTAAGTCTGGCTTTTTATATATCCTACATATCTGGCCCTAAATAACCTCAGTTGATCCTCTAAGACTGCATGTTGCAGAGTAAATACATATTTGCCTTGAAAGGTATATTATCATTAGGAATTTCCTGTACCCATGAAATCACAGGTCCGGTCTCTCTCCCACTTCTCCACTGCTCCCCCCAATGTTAAGGCTGTTGATGATGATGGAATCTGTATTTGTTGATAAAGGATCTCACAGAGCAGCCTTAGGTAGTTATTCTAAACATCAGCTAGATATGGAAAAGGTATGGAAAATTGAGCTGGATATGACACGGATCTAAGGTGTCCCTTGGAAGATTGTTTGAGTTTGTGTATGTGTGTGTTTTTAAGCTTTTATTTTACTGAATCTTCTATATGAACTTTTTTTTTCTTATTTGCCTCCTTCCTAAAGGTAAAGTATAAAACAAAAATCTAGGGTCCTAGTGGATAGAGAGTTGGCCTCAGAGTCAGGAAGAGCTGGATTTAGGTCCTTCCTTTAACACATCCTAGCTTTGTGGTCCTGGACAACTCACCTAGCCTCTCAGTGCTGTAGACAGTTTCTATGATATAGTTTGATTTGATTTTTACCCTGCTGAATACCTTTCTAAGACTTTAAATTGCAGAGAAGTGCTGACCTGCACTTTTTTTTTTGGTAGAGGAAGTTTTCTCCCCTGAGCATTCCCTAGGCCAGTGAAATCGTGGATCCCATCTCTACTTCCTATCCCCACTAGTTGAGTTCTATATAAATATTGGTAAAATATACATTGGATTTATATTGCCTTTGCAGGTTTTGGGTGTAATGTAGCTCCCTAAGAAAGTTCTTTATTTTCCCCATTCATTTCAGGCAGTTAGAAATTTGACCAAAGACTTGCAGGGTCAAGGCTGCAGTGCTGCTACAAGGAGCCTCATCCTTGTTCCCCTGAAGGATGAAATACTTTTGTTTTTCTTAAGCTACAAAGGCAGAGGGACAGCTTCACCAAAAACTATGGGGAGACCAGGACATTAGGCAGGCTCAGGCTCTCAATAAGGCTTATATCCCTGGATGGAAAGCAAAATCTGTCTAATAGAGAAATAAAAAGGTCCTTCCTGTGGTGCTCTGCATCCACATGGTGCCATAGCCTTCCTTTTGGAGCTAGAGGACTCTGTACCAGAAGTTTCAGACCCTTGCCTTCCAAACTCCTCTCCTATTATCATAATCAAAATTTTGCCAACTCTACTGTCTCCAGAATATGCCTTGTTCAGTCCTACTATTCATGCTATAATCAAAGAATTTCAAAGCTGGAACAGACCCAGAGGTCATCTATTCTAACATGAGCAGCATTCCCATCACTAATATCCCTAAGGACTAGTCATCTAATCTCTGCTTGAAGATTCTATTGAGGGAGAACTCACTACCTCATAAAGCAGCCTGTTCCATGTTAGGATAACTCTTATTGTTAGGGAGTTTTTCCACGTATTGAGCCGAACTCTGCTTATGTAATTTCAGCCTCTTGTTCCTAATTCTTCCCACTGGCGACAAGCAAAACAAATCTAATCTCTTTTCTATGACAGTTTTTCAAATAGTCAAGGCAGAAATTATGTCTTTCTAAAGTCTCTAGACTAAATATTATATTCATAATTCATCAAAGAGCATCATTGGATATTTACTTTTGCTAGTTTTAACATCAGTGCCTCATCTGTCCAACACTGAACAATTAACCAGATCCTCATCTACAAGCAACATTTTTCATATGCAGAAATAAACTGTCAACCCTACATCTTTGCTTCTCTAAGTTCTGTTCATCCTTTAAGGCCCAACAACTCCAGTCCAACACTATGCCTTTCCTAATCATTCCAGACCATGCTACTGTCTTCCTCTTCTGTATCTGTATGGTCTATATTTTGACATCTACTCACATACTACCTTATTTGTTATTTTGTGTATTTGTGTACTGACTTGTCAACTAGATTGTAAGGCTCCCAGTGACACAGACACTGTCGTTGTGTAGGGCTTGACACATAGTAGGCATTCAGGAAAGATCTGTTGAATTTAATTGAAAACAGTTTTTGTAGCATAAATACACCTTTCCACATACCCCTTCCACTCTCACTCTAAAACTATAGGAAACATTCCAAAGGAAAGGCAGTTTCCATAGCTCATTTAATTCTCCATGGATCTGAGAGTTGTGGGCAATTTGTCCTTTGTGAATTTGGATCAGTCTTAAGTTTTGTGCGGTTCCCTCAGTTTTTTGCATTTTTGAAAAGAGGGACCATGAAGAGAACAGAGTCAGGTCTTCATCTGTCTTTGCATATGGAAATGAAAAGAAGACAAACTTCATTTCTCCTGAAGGTTCCGATATGACTCAGCAGGTCTCCAGATATAACAGGTGTGATGGACATGATTCCATATGTTCCCAGGGTATTCTGGACAAATGATTTCAATACAAACCAGCAGTCTAGCCATTAGCATAAGGTATCTCCTTATATTAATCCACTTTTTCTCATTTGGCCACTATGTCTGCATCCCTGGAACAGAAGGCAGGCTATGGAGTTCCTTAACTTTAGGACCTTGCTCCTGAAAGTTGCTCATACTTCCCTTCTACAAAGGAGTTTGAGAAAGATGGTTAGTCTCCTGGGATAAGGCTCAGCTGGTTTATTTCTGTGTCTTGTGCACAGGACTGCCACTTGTGACTAATCACTGTGCAAAGTTGGAAATCTGCCTTGGCCCAAACTGTAAGCATGAAAACTCTTCCAGACCAGCCCACCACTGTCGCTTCTGCTTTTCTCTCCAGCTAACCAAACTCAGACATCCTTGGTATTTGCACTTTGCCAGCATTTCTGAGGGGAAAGAGGCCAAACTACTGCTGTTGTAATGAAGAGCCTGGCATTGATCGTAATGGAAAAATTGCATTACTGTTCTTGGGTTTTCGACTTTTGTTGTACATGGTGTATAGAGTGTCTATATTTAACTCAGCACCTGTACTCTTCCTTACTCTTTTCAAGCACAGTGGGCAGCTGTTTAACATGACAGTGCCCTACTGCAGTATCAAGTTAACTATAAAAAGATCCTTCTGGACAGATTCACTTTATCAACAAGACAAGATGATTAAATTTATAGCTGGGCTGTTACTGATCAATATGGATGAAATGTGAAATAACTTAATCTATTAACCAGAAATGGGGAGCCCTGTTTACGGGCACCTTACTTCATCAGTAGCTTGTGGATATTTCTGGTTTACTTAAAATCCTGCTGGCTCATTTTTGCATTCCCTTTCCCTTCCCAGTTACTGCAATTTGGGTGTATCTTTGTTTACATAATAGAAGCTATACAAATATCTAAAATCTAAATGTATCAGGAGATTTAGATTTTTAAAGGAATCCACAGTAGATCCTTTGGTAATCTGAATAATAATTGACTTCCTGATATATGATTTCCAATTTTTCAGATTTTCTTAAAGGGAAAAATCTTATACTCCTAAAATCTATTCATTTCAAGGATTTTGGAAATTTCAAAGTTTTTCATTTCCAGATCCATAGATAATACAGGTATAGAATCAGCCGGACCATCTTTTCAAATTGCTTCTCTGAGTCAAGAGGAAAGCAAGCAGAATCTGTGAATCAAGCTTGACAAAGAATATCTAAGTGGGGCTAAAAATCAGTTTGTTTAACTATAGCAGGGAGGAGCTTGTTCTTAATTTTCATTAGTCTTCTCAGGAGTCCCATTTTCTTCAGACCCATGATTTTGTGCTCATTTTCACTCCCTTTTCGTAGGAAGACACTCGGCTAAAAGACCCAGGATAGACAACCTCCAGGAGGCCCTTTTTAAAGGCAAGTGGTGACTACTGGTTTCACCTGGCTCCTGGCCTGAGTCCTGTGCTCACAGCTTCCAGGAGAGCAGGCATCTCCATGTAGAGTCCAGGTGATATGGGAATTCTGACCTGCAGAGGCGAAGAGCTTTGAAAATGCATACATTGCTGTAGAAATGTTATTTCAAAGTCTTTTTTTATTCAACTGTTATTCAGCAATATACAATACAGTTTATAAACAAATGTCTTACCTTGTTTCCAATCTTTATTTAAAAATAAATATTATTGACAGTGAATATTAATTATGATAAGATGTGCCTTTTTTTAATCAAAATGTCTCCAAAGAAATAATTTACTTGAATCCAAAAAGAAAAATCTTAACAGAAAGGGGAAGTAAAAAAAACCAAACCCAAAACAAAACAAAAAAACAACAAAAAACAAACCCAGAACAAAACACAGTTGTCTACTAAAAATAGTCCCCTTCATCCGAAAGGCTTGGACCCCACATTTTTACATATTGTCATAAAGATAACTGCTCAACAGTTCGTGCAAAATGAAGAATCGGAGGAAGAGTTTAGAAAAGAAAGTGACATTGAAGTAGAGAAATCATTGAAGCCGTGCATAGAGCAGGCTTGCACATCATCTTATTTGGAAACTAGATGTATTTATTTTAGGTGGTCTACTTTGTGTAACTTCCCCAAAAATATGATTTTTTTTCCATGTAGAATTTTTCATGCTTCTCTCAGTCTTTCTTTTTCTGTCTGTGGGACATATGAGTTCTTACCAAGGACTGAAATAGGTTCATTTTGTGTTTGGCTGAGGAGTGTTGGATACTGAGGTCCATCAGTGGTTTACTAACAAGTGTATAAGCTTATGCAGTGCTAACAGGAACATGTACAGGAATGGGTCTGTAGCATAAATAGGTCCCGTACCTGCAAAAGAGAGAAATGAGCAAAGTTAATGCCTTATTCCAGAAGTAAGCTACTCACCCAGGGCCGATGCGGAAACAAAAGTAGGTTAAAGGGGTTTTATGCTATCAGGAACAAATCTGTCTTCCTTGATAGTACTAATAATAAGGGTTTAGCTTGAGTAAGGGTATAGAGCATGAGGTCACAAGCTTAATTTTATTTTGTTTTTAAATATAAAACATTATCGATAACAAAAACTTCGTTTTTACATTTCAATCAGTCAATAAATATTTATTAAGTACCTACTATGTGCCAGGCATTGTGCTAAGTGCTGAAGCACAAAAGGAGGCAAATTCCTGCCCTCAAGGAGCTCACATATCCCTCCTCCTTGTCCTCCTTCTGAACCAGCCCTTATAAGTAATGAGAATAAAAAAAAAGGAGCAAAACATGTGCAGCACAACTAAACACCCTATCTACCAACACAGATACTATGTCACATTCATTGTCTTCCACCTCTGCCAAGAGAGATGGGGGCACAAGCTTGATCTAGTAACTAGTATCATGGCACTTCTAGGAATTTGGTGGTGAAATTATTAATACTAGTGTTTTATAGGGTGGTGGAAAGAGCACTGGATCTAGAGTCTGAGGACCTGGGTTCAAATCCCAGGTCTTTCCCTTGCTACCTGGATGACTTTTGGGAAGTCCCTTCTTCTCATTGGTTTTCTCATCAATAAAGTGATAGAGGTTGAACAGCATAGCCTCCAAGTCCCCTCCAGCTTTCAATCTATGATCCTATGAATGGGGGTTTAGAGAGATTAAGTAATTTGCCTAAATTCCACAGCTAGTAAGTCTAGAAATCAGTCAGTCAGTCAGTCAATAAGCATTTATTCAGCTCTATGTACCAAGTACTGTGCTATGCACTTGGGGATACAAAGAAAAGCAAAAATAAAACAACAAAAACAACCCCCAAAAGTTCTCTGGTCTTGTGCATAAATGGGGAATATAACACATAAATATCTTTTGTTGTCATTTCAGTCGAGTATGACTCTTTGTGACCCCATTTGGGGCTTTCTTGGCAGAGATACTGGAGTGGTTTGCCATTTCCTTCTCCAGCTCATTTTACAGATGAGGAAACTGGGGCAAATGGAGTTAAATGACTCGCCCACCCTCACACAGATAGTAGGGATCTGATATCGGATTTGAACTCAGGTCCTCCTGACTTTGGGGCTGGCACTTTGTCCACTGAACCACTTAGCTTCCCCTAAGAACATAAATAAGTACATAAAGTACATCAAATATCTAGGTATATACAGTATGTAGAGGGTGCCACTAGGTAGTACAGTGTATAGATTGGCAGACCTGGAGTCATAAAGATTCATCTTTCAGAGTTCAAATCTAGCCTCAGACACTTACTAGCTGTGTGACCCTAGACAAATCATTTAATCATATATATATATACTTCCAGTAAACAATCTCTCACATTTTTCTGGCTCTCACTTTTCAAAGCTCTTTTATATCTGTCATCTCATTTGATCCTCAGGTAGGCAGGGCAGGGATTATGTGACCCATTTTGTAAATGAGAGAGGTATTGGTTAGGGTGTACTGTGCGATGTCATTGGCAGTTATTGGCAGATGTGGGATGAGCACCCAGGACTCCGGAGTCCTTGGTTAGTGTTCTTTCTTACTAGGATACTTCACTATTTCAATTTAGGGGGTGGTAGAAAAGCAAAGTTTCGGTTTTTCTTTTTCCATGCAAGGGTCATTGTAACAGGGTTACTAGAAGACAATCTGGAAGGGGATGGGAGAGCTAGGGGTAGGATAATGCTAATTAATAAAAATGTAGCTAGCACTGATATAGTGCTTTAAGGTTTGTAAAGATATTTATATATATATATATATTATATATATATATATATACATATATATATATATATATATATATATATATAAAATCTCTTTTGATCCTCAAAACTCTGAGAAGTAGGTGTTATTATCTCCATTTTACAGAAAAGGAAGCTGAGGCAGATTGAGGTTAAGTGACCTTCCCACAGTCACACAGGTAGTGAATGTCTGAGATCAGATCTGGACTTCAGTCTTCCGATTCCATGTCCAGCAGTCTATCCGCTATACCTTCCAGTGGCTCCCACTAATTTAATAATAGCTGGTATTTATAATATGCTTTAAGTTTTGTGAAACACTTTACATTTGTTATTTCACTTGCTCCTCACGACAGCCTGTGAAGAAGGTGCTATTATCCTTATTTTACAGGTGAGGAAACTGAGCTAAAGTGACTTGCCTAGAGAAAATGTCTGAGGTGGGATTTGAATTCAGGTCTTCTTGATTGCAAGTCCAGAGCTACCTACAGTGGAGCTGTCGACATCCTTCCACGGATGCTTTTGGGGAAACGACAGTCATAACTTGGCTTCTCCATCAGAAGAAGGGCCTTCTATGGCTGGCTATTTCCAGACCAGTGGCCTCCAGCTAAGCCAACAGAAATAGGCCTTTATTAGGAAAACAGAATAAATCCAAACTTGCAAAGTTGATAAACTAAGGGAGTTGTTATTCACTTTTGGTGCCTCTCTCCAAGTCAACTGGCCCACCTAGATCACCTAATTATCTTACTTGACATTCCTTTCACTGTCATACTGTAGCCTACCCCGGACTACTTGCATAAACTGACCATTCCTTAATCCCATCTGGTCACCTACTTGATAGTCCTTTCACTGCTGCAGCTGGTCCACCCCTGGACTCCCATTCAGATCCCTTCACTGTCTCCCTCTCTCTCTTTTTTTTTTTTTAGGCAATTGGGGTTAAGTGACTTGCCCAAGGTCACACAGCTAGTAAGTGTCAAGTGTTTGGTTTGAGGCCAGATTTATTTGAACGGAGGTCCTCCTGACTTCAGGGCTGGTGCTTTATCCACTGCTCCACCTAGCTGCCCCCACTGTCTCTTTTGTATATAAGCATCAGTGTCATTCACATTTAAGTTGCAGATTCACTAGGAATCTCCCTGCTCCTATTGGCAACAATAAACCTTGCTACTTTGACTGAAAGAAGGCTCTAGTGCTTGAATTCTTTCCAGGCTGATTCTCCCCTGTACCCTTATATTTTGGGGTTCCCAGAAACCTTAAACCACATTGTTGGGGTTCCCAGCACCCCAAACTGCAATACCTTTAAGGTTTCTTGTAGTATGCCATGTGGTAGCTGAAAGAGCATTGAGCCCCTAGTTCAAGACCCAGCTTTGCTTCCACTTTACCATGTGATCTATGCCTCAGTTTCCCCATCTGAGGATAAAACCTCCTGCCTCACTGAACCCCCAAAGTTTTTGGGGCTGAGGGGATGAAATGAGATGCTCTGTGTGAAAAAGCTTTGTCAAATTTAAAGCCAAAGAAACACAGAACATTATCATTATTTGTTTGCAGTTTCCCTGGTGCATTTTAAATTCGATTTGATTTATACCAATTCACTTTGCATGCAAGTTCTCAGGAACACAGTCTTACTGCATAGTTCTGTGTAGCTGTGTGGTTTGGGGGGATTCTTTCTCAGCCCACACTTAGTTGGAGGCCCAAAGCCACTAGGAGAGAGGGGCTCCCATCAACATCTCAGAACCAGATGGAAAAGATGGAAATGAGCTACCTAGTGCATCCTGCTGTCAGTACAGGGCTGTTCTTTCTAGTGGAGCTCCTAATGCTTGGCTGAGTCTATTTTTAAATGCTTCAATCAATGTGGATTCACCATTTCCCTTAAAAGACTGAGGCTGAAGCTAAGCCTGACACAAGCTCAAATTGCATTCAGTTCAGTGATGCAGTGGGGAAAAAATAAAGCAACTCCCCCCTACTCCCAACCAAAACAAACAGAGTGATATTTAATTGTAATGACCAGCTTGGCCCCAGAGAAGAGAGGAGAAAATGTGCCTCTCCTTGTCTTTGCAAAGGCAGAGTGACTAGGAATGTAGAACATTGAAGACTCTTGATTGGAGCACTGATTAGTTTTGCTGAACTCACCTTCAAAATAGGGTACTCTTTTTATTTATTTATTTTTTTATTCTTTGTCACAAGGAGTGTCTTTTTGGGTAGGGAAATATTCAGAAATGCAGAGGATCTAAAACCAAAACAGAATATCGATTGGACCTATGATTTAATTGGTATAGGGAACTATTTGACCTGGAGGAGCAAGTCACTTAACCTCTCATTTCACTAATTAGTCTTAAACTAAAGTTTCTAAGACTAAGTTGAGGAGAATGTGCTGGCCTTCATTGATAGAGGGAGTTTTTTCTGTTGGGAGTTCCTTACACTAAAGAAAACCAAAAGATATTGCTAAATTTTTAAAGAGCATTCTGCTCAGAGTCAGATGACCTGGATTTGAATACAGGGCTTGTTTGACCCTGGGCAAATCATTTACTTCAGTGTTCTTACTTAAGCAGACCTCTAAGACTGAGAGCTTCAAAGGGAAGGTGCTGACTTAAATATATGTACAGCATTTTTGCAAATCTTAAAGCACTATGTAAATACTAGCTATCATTATTATTAAAATAATAATTTAGTGGAAAGAATTTCCTCACCTGGGAGTTCCTTATAATAATGAAATTTCTCTCTCTCTCTCTCTCTCTCTCTCTCTCTCTCTCTCTCTCTCTCTCTCTCTCTCTCTCTCTCTCTCTGTCTTTCTGTCTGTCTCTGTCACTGGGTTTGGTGTCAGATGACCAGGGTTTTAATACTGGGTTTGTGTGACCCTGAACATATTATGTGACCTTTTTGGGTCTCAGCCTCCTCCTTTGTAAAATGAAGGTGTTCGATTCTACAATCACTAGGGTTCCCTTTAGCTCTAGAGTCTTATGCTCCCATGTGCCACACTGAGTCATAAATGAGCAGGTTTTGCTCTCTGCTCCTGCTATGACCTCTACGCTCAGCATTGGCTTCACAGTAACTGTGAAAAATTGCCTTTCTTTCCATGTAAGTTTCAATTTTTGACTCTGACAGGGATATCTCTCCTTATCACTGGCCTCTTTTTCACTAAGAATCAGAGAGCTC